TGCATTAAACCAGGTTATATCCTCACCAATGCACTGACATAGGAGCTTCATTCTTGCCAACACACCAGCATAGGGACAGAGCTTCTCTCTGACTCCCACCTTGCACATAATATCTTGCTATGTGTCTCCAGTGTGCAGGTACAAGGATTGCTGGATTCTGCTAAACCAGGAAAGGCTCTAGAGGAAGTCTTTTCCCTGAAGGCTTTCCCACCTCTTGTGATAGGACCAGGCTGTGGCTTGTTATCAAAGTAGCACTGATACTGTAGGACTTGACTTTCCCCTTCTTCACTGGGTCCTTACCATCTCTGGCTTCTTTCCCAGTCAGCAAAGCAAAATTTTAGTCAAATACTGATTTGACAACTGTTATCTTAAAAGTCACTGAGTTAGCTCCTCAAGTCTCCAGCTCCTCCAGGAATTTGCTCATCCCCTTGAGCACACCAGTATGATCCACCACTGTGTCTCTGCCACATTCGCTTGTTATTGAAGCTCTACATTCAAATCACAATTGGCCCTGGGATGTTTCCGCAGTGTTCTTTTTCTTACAATTTCTGTGGAAAGCAGCACCTGCAACTCAATTTCATTCCAATTTCCCTCTCTCCAGCTAGGCTATGTTGGTCCAGAAATTTACAGTGAGCCTTGGATGGAGAGTATTCCTACTAGGATGGCTTTATAATGTTTAATTAATTGAGGATTACTGAATGTTTCGATCATGTATCCCTAAATACATGTACAAGGTTCATTATACCATAGTGCTGCTTTTATACCATTAGTTGGGATTCTTTGGCAGACATTCATCTTGTCAGAACAAGACTCTCCTGTGCTGCCACTTCATTTATTCAGCCTTTATTTACTAGAGTTATAATTCTAGGTACCTTTGATGTGTGATTACAAAGCCCATCATTCAATAATACACATATAGGTAAAGATTCGATAGTTTTCCTATTCACAGTAGCACAAACATATTTCTGGGCAGACCAGGGAGGGGCTTGGATCACTTTGGAGTAAAGCTGGCTTAACTTTTTGCCTTCAATGAACAATTTTTGCTTGGGACAGGCCTAAGGGAGAATCTCATGATGTGAGCCTACTTAAGGTCCAACAAAAGTAACACTGGGAAAGATGTTCATGCTATTTACTTGGCGAGATCCCCATCTTGGCTTTGTCTGGGCTTAAGGCAGAATTATTAGTAGTAATCTGCTTTTGTATCAAGGCAGGATTTCAGTCAACAGTCCCAGATCCTCTGCTGTAAAGAAAAGTGTTAGGATTTCCTTTCCTCAAGACTTCAAAGAAGAGTCAGGATGCTTCCAACTGTCAAACCCTGGGTGGGAAATGAGAAGAGGCCTGCACATTGGCCTTTTGTCCTTAATCTTGCTAAACAGTAAGAATTTAGATGAAATCACAGAAGCATCTATTAATGGCAGGAAATGCAGTTAATATATTGGATCAAATAATTTATATTCAAAAACATGCTGGAACAATGGGATGGGACTCAGTGAGACAAAATCTAATAGACACAAAATTGTCCCACCCTCAGGTAACTAAGTCACCTACTAAGTTATGAAGAAAGCAAGGAGATTTTGTGATCCAACAATGGACACATGTACTAAACATGATGGATTATCAGAGTGAATTCTGAGCATAGCTCTAGATCGAGAAGCTGTGTTCACATTAGCTAGATCACATGTGCAGACGACATACCATTTTAGAAGCCTTCTATTTCTATAGAAACTACATACTGGGGAAAACCCAGGGGCAAACAACCAGGAAAAGGAAGGATTGGAAAACATATTGATATGTGGGACTGTGGGAGAAGCTGAAGACTTCAAACAGAGAAAATTAGGAAAAAAGAGACATAACAAGATTTTTTTTTTTTTTGAGGCTACCAGTAGCCAATCATGGCAGGAGCACTTGGAGCATTAAAATAGTATCTGTTAGTGATGAATTAAAATCCATTAGATAATAAAATAACTCATGAGCTAGTGTTAACAAAAATATCTGCTGCTCTGTCTATGGATAGGTAAGCTGAAATGATACCACTTTTGGTCTAACACAGAGAAACTGCAGATATATTAATGATGAGGTAGCCACAGGTCCGAACTCTGCTCAGGAACTTGCAAAAATCTTCATAGTCTCCTTAAAAATTGTATACTCTTATTCATAAGACTTATATAGGGATAAAAATTGGCTTTTATTGAATCAAAGTATTCTTTTAATCTGCCCACAGACTCTGTGAGATGGTATTGTGACCCTTGTTTTACAGACAGGGAACTAAGCTGTGATAACATAGGCAATTTGATCTAGAAAGTTTCAGAGTTGGAATTTGAACTCCACTCCTTCCCCAGCACCACCAATAGCATTCAGAACACAGGTGGGGTGCCTATGGCACCACAGTGTCCCAGTGGGTCTTTAATGCTTACTCATCTACTAGTTAGTCTTCTATATCTTAAGAGGAAGACTAAAGTAATTAAAAGAAATCCACTGTTCAAATGACCCTGATTTCTGTGCAGCGTCTTTGTCCTTTTGCTTCCCCACAAACCCCTTTTTTGTCTTTCTGCTGAAAAACGGCTAGTTCATCTGAAGCAGTCCACTTTATCTTTCCTTTCTCTTGAGTCAGTCCATCTGTCCACTTAGATACTGGGGTTCCCTGGCTTTCTAGTACAGGTAGAGGAATTTGATCCTGTTTATAATACCTGTGAATTCAAGATACCAATGAAAGAGTTGCTGATAAAGGGAAGCACATGGCTAGTCTATTAATACTGCTCTGTGCTAAACAGTGAGAATATTTTAAATTACACCACATAGTCACTAATAGGCTCTCGCTTTTGTCAAAGCGTAACTATTTCTTGATGATTTTCCAGATTTGGTATTTGGGACACAGAGTTTCTCATCATCTTCCCGTCTTGTTGCTGGGAAGTAATGTTCCAAACAGGCCAGTTTCTCTAGCTTACTAAGTTTTTTGCTTGGAGGTAAGGAAACTTCTAAACTTCTTTAGTATGTTTTAAAATAATGTTTTATGTTCAGTGGGCTTTGGCTGCCTCTTAATCCTGAACTTCCCTGTAAGCTGACACTATGTACCCTGCTGATAATCTACATGTGTTAAATGCCAGGAGCAGAGCAGTGAAACAGACAGACACAACTGCCACCCTCAACAGGGACCAATGGCATGGACTACAGAGACAGACAGGAAACAAAAAAATCACAAAGAAAGATTTACATTCAACAACAGTCTACATCTCTCTGTAGTACCCAGCACAGAGATCAGCACATGATGTTTTTACACACAAAAATATGTGGCTGATGTTTTTGAAGAATGTGCAGAGCCTGACCAGCTGGATTGCGTTTATTTTTAAGTTTGAGAGTTCAAGGCTTTGACTTCTATAGTGACAAGAAGACATGACAGTGAATCGAGGTCTTGGTTCTAACTCCTGTATTTCCATTAACTACTAGTATGTCTTTGGTGATTCACTCAATCTCTGAGCCTCAGTTTCCTTACTTATAGGAAAAGTGTAAGTATCAGGAACCCTCATTACTAGTAAAATGCCTAATGCCAGAAGTCTGTATGCTAATTTAGCCTCGTTTACCCTGCCAGAAAGAAAAGAAATAGCTGAGCCCAGGTCTCCTTAGGAGAAATGACCCTACCAGAGGGGTCTACACGTCCCTTGGGAAGATGGATTAACAGCTGCAAGGGATGAGTCCTCGGGACAATGAAACTTAACAGTCTATGTCAGAACATGAGCAACCTTGTGCTTGGCTTACTGTCCCACTGAGTGTTCAAAAAGAAACATTTTCATTATTTGGTATCTTAATTATATTACTAGACAACAGATCAGAGGAAACAGGAAAGCACAGAAATAGTTTTATCTGCATGTTTTTATAAGTGGGAAAACAGTAAATTTCCATCCACTCCAATAGTCAAAAATAGCTTCAAAACTTGAAGGTAGCTGTTAGAAGGACCTTCAATCCCTTTGAACATTGGTTAATAAAGCATGGTTATAGTGATTAGGTGCTATAATCTCAGTACGTAAGGGCACTCTCCTTTTGTTAAGGTCTCAGTGACTTTTATCATAGAAAGAAAAAAAATAGGAAAAATTCTAATGAATATAGAGCATTTAAAAGTATTTCCATAATCTAGAAAATTTAAATGAAATAAAGACATGCAGCCTGTGGTTGCTCAAGGCTGAGGGAGCAGGCAAAATACTGGGTCTAAATAAAAGAGGGTCAGAGAGTCCTTGGAAAGCTGTAACTTCATTAATGAAATAATTACTATGAATAAAAGGTTACTTCATACTCTTTGGATCTAGAATGTACAAATTAAAGTAGACTAGGACATAGACCCCTTCTTCCTTGTGCTGTGATTTATGATGGAGGTCATGTTCCTCTTAAGCTTGAGCAAACACATGGAATCTTTGTACCAGCTCCTTTACTAACCCTTGCTTGTTTACTGCAAGGTGTGGGAGAGCAAGTGGCCAGGTTTTCTTATAAGATGACTACATCCTTCATTTGCCACTTCCTGGTTCTTCCATCTCTCAGGACCTGAGTCACAGGAACTTAGCCAAAAGATGGTATCATTTATTCACTAGAGTCCCTTTGGATTAGAGGCACCCTCCAAGCAGCATCTCTGTGGTCATTTCCCAAAGCATTGGTCTTAGTCTAATTTTGAGATTAACCCCACTTAAATTATGATAAATACAAACCAATCACAACCACTGAGGTCTCAAGTGACTACCCCAACTTCAGCCCCTTTGAGGTTCATCCTCCCAGAGGGCAGAGCAACCTAAGGTCCCAGGTGGAGCAACTAAGAGAAGAGACACCCTGCCCCTCTCACTATTCTCCCTTCTATTTCTGTATGACTCTCCCAACATGAGAGTCCATTTCTGTTCTTACCCCTTTGCTGGCACAAAGAGCCAACAGACTCCTGTGTGGGAGAAATTCTAAGGAAAACTCTCCAGGGGTGGATAAACCAACAAGCAGCCTTGGGAAGGAAGGCTGGAACTCTGTCCTACCTTGTCACTGTCCACTGTGTTCTGAGAGGTCCTAGAGGCAATGGAGATCGTATCTGGCTGGCTGCTCCCATCTCCTTGGCTGTCAATGTCCTCCACTCCATCCCTGTAGGAAGAAGAGAAGAAAACAAGGGTGGGGGTGGGGGGAACCACTGTGGTTTAGAGCACACAAGGATTTCCAGCTGCTGGATCAGCAGCACCCCAGCATTTCTAGCAGGGATTTATGTAAAACTGACCTGCTAAAGGGAGCAGCCCTATGTGATTTTGAAGGACATAGCCTTTTGAGCTTGGTGAATACATAATCACTATGCTAATACCTGAATGCAAAATAACTCCTTTTTTGTAGTGCCTCCTGCCCAGACTGCAGAGAGGATAATTAGAACTGGGAATGAATCTAAAATACAGAGTACAAAGATGTATATTATACTTAGAACTTAGGCATCTATCTAGCTGACAGGGTAATTTCCAGTAACCCCTGAGCTCAGGGTACCCAAGTAGTTTTCTGTATGCTGTAGTTAGGCTGGAGGTTAGCTGGCCTGTAAAGAAAACATAACAGATAAGATGCTTCTAATTTTTTTGAGTCAGGCTCTTGCTGTGTTGCCCAAGCTGGCCTTAATTTCCTGGACTCAAGTGATCGTCCTTCCTCGGCCTTCTACATGGCTGGGGCTACAGACATGTGCTGCTGAGTCTGTGGGTCTTTTTTGACTTAGGTTTCTTCTGCTTAAGAAAACAGGGTGGTAAATTTTCTTCATGGGCAATTATTTTTGGCAAGTTCTTGATTCTGGATCCTCAACTGCTGGGTAGAGAGGAGGTGTTTGTGGCCTTCCATTTAGTGGGCCTTGTTAATCCCATGTACATTTGTGATGATTTCTTATTGACATAGAAAACCTGGGTGTTTTTCAAAGATTGGAGAACAGTCACAGATTCCACAGCAGCTTCTGCATCAGCTGTGCTCCCAATGTCTTATAAGACATCCTCCCCAGTGCACTTCCTTCCTACAACTGGGCATCATACAATGCCAGCCATGTGGTTCTTTCAACTCTGTGCTCTACAGCATGCTCCAATAGCATGTCAGACCTACATCCAGGTCCCAGCAACTAGATGTCTGTGAACTGCTGAATGGTCAGGGTTGGGCAAACTTGGGAAAGAAGGGCTGAGATTGGAATTAATGGAGGAAAACACAGCTTGCTCTATGGACAGTCTTATGAAAGTCATACCACTGACACTTCTTGTGGAAAAGTATGGTATATGGCAAGAGGGGAGCTCAGTGCCAAAGAATCTTATGCCATGAGCAAGATGCCACAGCAAATGAATCCACGTTGCACCATCTAGACAATTCTAATCAGGTGTCTGTGTGCACAAGTGTGCATATGTACATATACAAAAAAGTAGTTCCATTATTATCATCGGATGTACATCATCAGAAAAAGTAGTTTCTCTCATGCGGAACATTTCTAAATCGACTGCTCTCTCACCATTTGTGGGCTTGGGAAATGCCAACTTACTTTAATAACATAAACCACACATTCGTAGGAAGAGAAATCTGCTGTAAAAAGAAATTATGTGATGTATTTTGCAACCAAAAATAAAAGACTTTCAGATCATCTGTTGTTTTGGATTATCTGGGCTGCTGCCCCCACCACTGTAGATATTGAGAGCTGGCTGTACTTTCTGCTGTTCTGGCCCATCTCGGGCCCTTCTGGTCCAGTGCAGATGAAGCCAATTGTGGGTGGCAGTCCTCAAGCCAAGCCACTCCTCCAGAAACTCTGTCTCCATATTCAGGGAGCCAGGATAATGGAAGTACAGATTGCCCAGCATTCTCTGCAGTCTGTGAGATTTTTGTCTTTCTCATCAAGGACAAGAGAGAACGTGGATGGCATTTTGGAGACATGCATTTTCCATGTTCTAGAAACACTCTGAATCTACTAACTTAGAGATGAGGGGTTATTTCACAAAGTAACCTCAGTCAATCTCACCTGTTTCCTCTCTCACCATGGTTCTGGACAGTCCATTCCTCATCATGGTTTCCTTTCTGTCTTCTTTGTTAAAGTAGAGGCAACCTATAGAATGGCCTGTTCCAGTGTTAAGCTGAGTCTATCCATAACGTGGACCCAGCACAGGTATATGAAATCAAAATGACCCTTCTTCCAATGTAGTCATAATTGGTTCTTTTGGTACTTTGGGGTGTATCTTCTCTTGACCATTCAGAGAAGAATTTTTTTTTTTTTTTTGGGCTGGTGCAGGCTGCCTTAAAGGTGGGTCTTGTGTACCATGTGGAGGTGGGGGTCGAACCGTGGTCCCCTGCACCTGACTCACTTTGCACAACCATGCACTTTTATCAGCTGAGTTAACCAGCAAGTCCCCAACCTGACCATTCAGACTTGGGGCTTGGGCTTCTGCCCCATGGAGGCAACTTTACTTTACTCATATCTTTCTTTGGTTGCCACCTCACTCAGAATAACACTCCCACTTCATAACCTTGCAGGGGCTCTCATCCTTATCCTGGGTGGGTCCAAAAAGTCAACTAAATTTTCTGGACTTAGTTAATATGTGAACAAGGGGAGGGCAGAAACCTGGTACCACCACTCTCAGAATTTTGTTTGTGCTGTATTTTTAAAAATGTGTCACTTTTATATGCTTTCCTTTAAGGTGTGCTCTAATTGTCATTGTGTCAGTTATCAGGTGGAGACCTGAGAAAGAAATTCATAAGAAGACATCCACTGGTTTAGAGGAAACTGAGATCCAGAAAGGTCAGGTAAGATTAGAGAAGTAAGTCCTCTGCTGTCTGATGACATTGCTTATTACAGGAGAGTGAAGGTGTAGGCTCTACAGTGATTGCAACAGTTGTGATGAGACTTCCCACCATGCCACCCCATCCCTTTCAGTGTATCCTTACTGTCTGACCAGTCTATAGAGCTCTCCATTCTGGCTCAGGTTCTGACTCTCTAGAGCCGCCTAAAGATCGCTTTGAATTCTTACAGCATTACCATCCCTACATATGGTACTAGTAGTTCTTGTCTAATTATTCCACACATAACACATGACTGGCAAAGATGGTTCTGGAGAGAAGTGACTAATCTTATACTTCTTTTTCTTTTCTGATAGCATTGAGCAGAACGTTTATCACATAGGAGGTGCTAAATGAAATATGCCACACGTAGCTGACAGGAACTGGTGAGATGCTTAAAGATAAGATAACCTGCTGTGGGTGGAACCTGTGGACCTTCCCAGAGAGTACATAGTACACTAACACCTCAGAAGCAAAGGGTCATCCCACTCCCACTTCCAGCAACATATGAGGCAGACTATATTGGAGGGAGAGATGCTTGTTACCTCTTACTATTGTTCCTCTGTTTGGCTGGTGTTTTAGGGAGCTGAATTGGCTCCTTTAAAGCTCCTTTCAGGTGAATAATCCTTTCTTGAATCACTTCTCGAATGTTCTTGATCCATTCCTGCTTGGTTTCAATGTTGGAAGCCTGGAGTACCACAGGGAGAAAGGTTGAGAACCCTAACTCCTGTTGCTGTGCCAAAATGGTTCTCCATCCTTCTGTTGGCCTTAGCTATTCTTTTCTTTTCTTTCTTTTTTTTTTTTTGTGGAACCAGGGATTGAACTCAGGCCCTTGTGCTTGCCAGGCAAGCGCTTATTCTACTGAGCTATCTCCCCAGCCCCTAGCTATTATTTTCAAGACTACCAAATGTTCAGGGAGTTTCTTGCTTTATATTTGTGACTTTTCAATCCTAGAGACATGTTTCCCTAACTCAGAATAGAGGTCTGGCTTCAAGACTTGGAAAGAGAGTTTTCAAAATATTTCACAACCCATAATGCACTGCCTGATCTTTGACAACCACCCTCAGGTAGGAGCAGTATATGAAGGCCTCTGCTGAACCCAGAATTAACAGTGGAGTTGCTAGATCCTGGGGAAGTCTAGGCTAATTGGGACAGGGGGTGTCATTTGAAGCTTCCTGTTCATCTGTCAGCATGGATATGTGCCAGCATGTCCAATACCTATTACAGCCAGAGACTGTCTGGAAGTCTATCAAGAGTTTTAAGCCTGCTAACCCTTATCATCATATTAGGAACTTCCCATTTATCTTATGGATTCCTTTTCAAGTGGTTCTGCTTTAAGACTGGCAACAGCTATGCTGCAGAGTTGTCTGTTCCTGGTAGTGAGGTTACTTCCCAGGGACCAGTGGGAGAGTGCTTTCTCTGCACCAGCTCTGCTCAGTTATGCTGCTTTTATCTGCAGCAGCAACTCAAGCCTTGGCCACATACTGGAGAGCAGAGGTGACTGTGCTGAGTCCCAAACTAGTGTGATTTACTACAGCTTAGAACACAAGTTCCCAGAGGATAAGGATCATATCCTATACACAGGGGCTCACTCATGACACTGGGTAGAATACACGGAAGGTGCTTAGGAAAATATGTAGAATGAATGTGAATCAAGGTGTTTTTTGTCAAAAGTACAAAAGTTCTGGCTATGGAAAGGGGATAGACAGACAGAAATAGCTGAGTGGGCTTTGTTGAGAAAGTCATTGGCTGCCCCCTCACTTTAGCCTCTTCTCTCTATGGACTTGAAGAAAACACTTGTCTTTGAGATTCTTAATCTACCTTTACGATGGAATTTGCTTTTTAATACCCATCTGATGTTGCCATTTCCAAGAGAGACCAGGGACTTAGTGGTCTCCAGGGTCTGGCTTTCAGGTGTCACACACTCACCTCCCTTCCCCACCCCACTCCCCCAATCCTATTCCCACACCCAGCTGAGAACAGTACTTACTTTGAGCACTGTTTTATTGTCTGAGGATGGGGTACGGCCAGACCACAAGGCAAATTTGCAGGGGTCGCCCTCTACGTGCTCGGTCACACCCAGCTCTGAGGTCTGTAGACAGGAAATGCCTGTGAGAGGCGGGGAAGGGGAGGGCAGTGGGGAAACTTAGGGCTGGGGTGGGAAGGGAAAGGCAACAAAGAGGAGAGGACCGAGGGAGGGGCTCTGTCAATCAAACTTCAACAGACTAGAAACTTTGTTCATCTACCCAGATGAAGGACCTACAGGCACATGCCTGATTAGCAGGTACCAGGGAGGTATGGTGAAGAGGGAAGCACTAAAAACAAACAGAAAGAACTGTAAACTCTAAGATGCAGAAGTGGGTGGTAAGGGTGGGACCTGTTCAAATAGGAGCCTTTTTCCAGGAGGACTTGGGTGTGGAGGCTGAGGAAGCGAGGAGCTGGGTGTCCAGATCCCTTCCTGTCTACAGGCTCTAGAAAAGCAGTAAGTCTTGTCCTACCCCATCCAGTTCACCTACCAGTAGCTTGTTCTTGTAAACATATTTCGTGTGTCCTGAAGAGTCTTTGATCTCCTTGCTAAATACCAAAGAGATTTCGAAGAGGAACAAGTGCCGCTCCCGTCCCTTCCGGATCAGTGATTTCGGGTCCCATACTTGGAAGGCATCCTGGAGAATCAACTCCCCCTGTACATCCAAGTTCTCATCGAACCCTGAAAAACACCCATGCCCACCCCATGGAGTGTCTCTACTACCACACTCAGGGGACAGTGATCCATTCCCTTGGAGAAAGTCTTCCCTATTAGTAGGTGCCACATGAACTCTCCTCCTCCTGCTCCCAATGAGGGAGGGAAGTGTGACCTCCCTCAGGGCTCTGTAACTCCTTCAGCTGTACCTAACTTGGGAGTTCTGAGTGAGGCTGAGGACAAACACTGCTTGATGGACACTATCCTTGGCTTCTTTATCTGTCAATGCTCTCTTTCTTATATGCTGTTCCTAGGATTCTTCCCTTTGGTTGTTCCTGCAGTGTGGTGCACGAGCTTTCCTAAGGTTATATTTATACCACTTGAAGTACTTAGAGGAGCTTCAAGCTTTAGTGTACATAAAAAATAACCCGGAAAGCATGTGGAACACAGATTCTCACCCTCCCTCATCTCCCCAAGAAATTCTCATGCAGCAGGTTTGAGGTGAGTCCATTCATTTGCACCCCTGACCAACTCCCAGTTGCTGTTGCTTGCCCATAGACTGTATATGGAATAGCTGGATTCAGAGTACAGTCAGGGACAGGCTGGAAGAACACATGTAGAGAGGAGGATACTCTAGGTTGGGGAAGCAGGTTCACAAAAAAGAAATGGGTTAAGATAATTATATCACTAATTTTTCTTAGCTCAATGAAAAGATTTGTGCTAATATTGTTTGGACAATTAAAGGCCTGTATCTTGTACTCTAAGAAATTTAAAGATAACAGTAATCTATTAACCATTGTTACCCTCCTATTATCTTGTTTTGAAATTGTTTTTTTTAATCTCTTTAAAATAATAAGAATAAGAATAAGAATAAGAAGAAGAAGAAGAAGAAATGGTAGGGGGAGAAACTGTGACAACAAGACACATTCAGATGATTAGTGCTCAGTCTCTGGAGAAGTTAACCCAGATTCTTGCTTTATAGATTGGGTTTCCTGTGCTAAGTATGGTTTAGTAACTAGTAAATCTACACCAGGTCTTTTTGTTAGGGATGGTGTTGGTAAGATGAGATGGGATAGAGCCAGAAGAGGAAAAGCAGCCCACATACTGTTGTATTTGCAACAGATTATACTTACTTCCTTTAGCAGCCGGTTGTCAGCCCCGACTGGAGTGTTAAGTCTTATAATCTATCAAGTTCCACCTCATTCTGGCTTCTCTACCAATGTGTTTTGCAGGATTAAAACCACTTTATTTCAGTCTTGCTCTCCAAGGATTCTGGATCCTAAGAGCATGGTTCCAGTTGACTGACATCCTACCACTATTACATGGCTGGTCTTTCCTAACTGTCAGGAAGACTGAAAGGCTCTTGCGTAAGAGTTAAACATAAGGGTCTGCCAAATAGCTCAGCAGATTAAAGTGCCTGCAAACTGGCTTGTGAGGGGTTGGGGATTTGATTGCCTGGCCTGCCATGCTGGTCCCGCCCCCAAGGCTCCCTGAGAGGGCAATTGAGACTGGGTGTGGCGGCGCTCGCCTGTAATCCCAGCTCTTGGGAGGCTGTAAATAGGCCGATCCCTATGATTCTGATTTAGTAATGATACCCTGAACACCCTGTAGACCCTTCCCTAAAATACAAAAAAAAAAAGAGTTAAATGTACTAAATCCTACTGAACTGTCCAATAAAAATGGATATAATGGTAAATTTATGGTATATATATTTTTGCATATTTTACCTAAATTAAAAATAACGACATAATGTTAAAGACACTGATGTGAGGATGTATAATTAAAATTTCTTAGTCTGAGAACAAGAGCTATGTTATGCAGATTAGCGGGACTTCTGTGGATCATGACTCAAGCACATTTACAGTATGGATGATGGCCTGGCCTTGACAGTTTCATTGGCAGCAACACATCCAGGTGTCTACGCACCTTAAACAGCTAAGGCTTGGTCCTTCCTGGAGGCTGATATTAGCCAAAATGGTCTGTGGAATGTCCCTCACAGGTCTATGAAGGACCTGCCTAATAGCTTGCCCTTTCTCCTCTCCTCCAGCCTTGCTGCTTGCTTGACTCCAAGGCCTTCCCTCCTGTGACACAAGCTCCCTGGTCTTAGGAATGGAACAGGCATTCCCAGAAGGGCTGGGAAAATAGGTACCTTCCAGCATGCTGACATGCATTGCATCATTGGCTTTCTTGGGGACACTGAGCATCACCTCCAAGCCATCCTTGAGCTCCCCTTTCCCTTCTTCACAGCAAGTTAAAAGTTCCTGGGGAGAAAAGTTCAAATACAGTTAGGATTATTTGTTCTTCCCAACTCCACTGCCTATAATCCATCAAAAAAGTTATACCGCAGTGTCATTGTCTATAAGAGCTCTCCCTTGAGTTATAAGGAAAGTGGGGAGGGGAATTATCATCAAACAATTTAATAATTGTTTTTGGTCCAGTATGAGCTTCCTTAGCCTTAGCTAGTCCTAATGAAGTCAACTCAACTCAACTTCCAAATAGCTGGAACTTTAAGTCAGCAAGTAGGACATTCTTTGTCACTGAATTGTTTTCCAAGAGAAGAAAATATGCCCTGGTAAAGAACATGATAAAAGTGCAGTACTGTGGAATCATAAGAAAGTGAATGAGAAACCCAGGGGATCGTATCTTCTCCTTTTCACTTCTCCATTGATGTCTCAGTCATCATCATCCCCATAAAGAACACATAGCATCCTGCTGATAGAGAAAAGATCACTTTCATATCTTAGGAATCATAAGACCATTTGGAATCCTTTGTGGTCAAACTATAGGAACGGTGACTTTTCAATTTTCCTATGATTACTGTTTTGCTTGTTTTGGCATTGGGAAAGAAATGGTGAAGCAATATCAGTCTGCAATGAATACTCTCTCCTTGAGGGAGCAAGAAATGGGTGGGGGTAGTGACACACTTCTACAAAAAGAAAGAAGTTCTTCAGATCGAATCTGTAAATGAGTTAGTGACAGACCTCTTGGCAAATACAATAATGTCACTTGCTAGCAACAGAATGCTTACTTATGAGATGCTTTAATCAAAATCTATTTTGCTTTTTCTTATGGCAAACAAAGCCAGAATTTGTAGCTTTATGGGCATAGCTTTCCAGAAAGTAGCTTATAAACTAAGCAACTACTGTGCATAAGTAAAAAGCAATTACATTTTATGACCAAAAAGGTTTTCTCTTTGGAAAATAATGTAGCACATTTTTTGGAAAATGATACAATGTTCTACACAAGTTCCATATAACTTGTATGTCAGTCTGGCCCAGAGCACGTTCTGATGCTACAGGAAGGGACTTAGAGGCACAGCAGTGGTCCTGGACTTTTCCTGTTTCATCTATGCCTTGGGATTATTTCTACCCTTCAGTTTACTAATAAAGCTTTATACTTGACAAAATATCTGGTTAGTGAGATTGTGATATGGAAACCCAATCCTCTGTGTTATCCTGGATCCATTCCCACATGAACAAGGGAGCTTTCCATATCCAGGAAGAGGAGAAATTTTTGGAGCACATGTTTGGAACTGCGGGAGTCCTCAACTCTGGTTGGCTCCTGCCAGTATAATGTTATCATTGTGAAGAAAGTCTTACTTATTTCTTCCAATCTGAAGTTCTCCGATGCCCCTACCCTCTCCTAATTTTAACCCTCCTAATATTGTTCTTCACCTTTTTTTTTTTTGGCAGAACCGGAGATTGAACTCAGGCCCTTGCGCTTGCCAGGGAAGTGTTTGTTCCACTGAGCCATCTCCCCGGCTCCCACCTCCTAATAATGTTCTCATAAATCATCAAAAACACTTGAGGCAGAACATGGGAGAGAAACAAGAAATACACTTCGGTTTGCAACAGAAAACACCAATTGGTTTAATCTCCCAAAGCAATTTAACAAGTCTACCAATCTATCAGCAGAGCCAATAAATTCTCCTTGTGTGCTTGTGTTAGTTTATGATAAGGAGAAGCCTCCACAGTTAATTCATCCTCCAAAAGGACAGCTGTAGCAGATTTACAGGAAGAATATTGAGTACTCTTACTGACATACAGTCTCTGCACTCAGGCAGTACCTAATACGATGAGCCCCAGAAGACACTGATAATTAAATATCAATTTATTTGGAGTAAAACTGACTTTAAGGAGAAAATAAATCCCATATTATTTATTTACACTAAAAGCTCAGCAAACTATTTTTCTTTTACTCAGCAGGCACTCTGCCACCACTACATTTTTAAAAAGCCCAAATTATCTTCTTTTCACTTTTACAATAACTTTACAACTTCCCAACAATAAAGTCCTTACTATTTTATTTGTTCATTTTTCAGTTACCTCAAAGTCTTTCTCAATGAGGCCCAGAGCCTACCTCACCAGTCACCTAAAGCCATGCACAGGGTGACACGTTCTTTGCTCCACTTTCCTCCCTTGTATGTGTCACATAATTCATCTTGGGGAACTTCAGCCATATGGGACTAAAGGCAAGAGCAAAAACCCTGTATTTCTTTTAGGAAAGCATTTTATTGATTACAGACACAGGCAATACGGGTGGTGAGTTGATTTTTTTCTTTTTAAACTCAGAACACCAGTTTGGACAAAGGTTTTGAGTTACATAAATTAAAAGTCACAAAAAAGAATGCTGAAGAATATTAGTACAATAAAAATAATTTAGAAGGCCAAGCATGAAGCATGCTAGAGAAGGAGGTATTCACAGCAGTTTGGGTTGAGGAGAACGTAAGTACCCAGCAACCACAGGTAATAAAGAGACTAAATGAAGCATCTATGCTTTTACAGTCAAAAGTGCATGGACTTTTTTAGAACAGAGATACTCCCTACCCCATGATCTTATGAGAATATCTGAATCTCTATGGAGACTCCATAAACTAAAGATGCAAAGGCAGTTTTGGTAAAACAGAGAATGCATTCTGTATAATGTCACTTCTCATACTAGTCCTCAGTAAAGGCTGTGTATACAATGCCCAGCTAACTCTCTATCATTCTGTATGCTTGGGGGAGCTGAGCTGCTGGGAGCAGAAGCCCACAGTCCCTCTTAAAGACAGGTTGGCAGGGGAGGAGGCTGAAAGAACAGCACTGTGTGTGGCCCTGCTCTGAGCCAGAGGATAGGAGAAATGGCCAGGGCAAGGCTCCCTGCAGCTCCACTTTACTTTCATCACAGACTTATAAGCACTAAGCCAGGGAAACCTCAGGGGCTGGGGATGGTGGAGATTCTCTGTCAGAGAGCCCTAGATTGGAAGCCAGACTGGTATTCATGTTAGGTAAAGCCAAAATATGTAAAATTCTACAAGCATCTCTAAACATGTGTTGATTTTTATCAGATTTTATTTCAAATTACATTTCTTTTCACACATTCCTTTCTGTCTGTATATTCTTTGCATCATAGGAACCAGAAAAATATTCAAAAGGAAGAAAAACTCCATCCCTACACTTGAGGAATTAGCATAGACTTATGTTAATAGCTGCTTATAATGTTAATTTTTCTGGGTTTCTGCAGAAATGCCACATTTTGAAAGTATCAGTGTATCCTATGAGAAGGCCCAAGCCAAATTACTTAGTGATTTACATAATTTGTTTATTTGACTGCATTTTTTTTTTTTTGTACAAAAAGAAATCCAGATCTATTGGATGGTTTCAGAAAAATCCCTAACATATGGGACCTTCCAAATAACAAATGCCATTGGGTTTCCTTATGCTTGCTTTGGCTCCTTTTTACAATAACCCCATGATCTTGACAAACTCAGAGAGGAAGGTGATGACTGCTACCCTGGCCTCCAATACCATAGAAGCTAGGACCAGCCTCAGGACACTGACTCATTCTGTGAAAATCAGGGGCCACAAGAGGGATACTGCTCATGAAAGACAGATGAGAAAGTCTGAGAGCCGGTCAGTGCTTGAAGATGCAGTAAGTAACTAAAAGTTGTGCAATCGTGGGTGGGGGTGAAAAGCAGTCACAGCCTATTCTCACTCCCCTTTCTTATCTTTTTGCCCCAAAACAAATGTCTGGAGTTCCACAGGATGGGAAATATGATCTGGGGCTAAGAGTGCCAGGGACAGCTCACTTCTGAAGCCTTACTTCTGTTCTCTGTTAAAGTTTTTAGGTGGAAGCTTCCTAACTTGGAGGACAAAGCTGAGACTCCTGTGTTCTGGTCAGTAGTGGTAGGAGGGTGCGAAGAAGGGGAAGGGAGGTACCTTCAGGAGCAATTGGTACTTGGTGATCCTCTGCACAGGCTTAATTAGATAGGAAGAGATGGAGTTGGCCAGACCATGCCGCTGCTGGATCTCCTACAGGGATGAGAACAAGGTAGAGTGAGACATGGAGGGGAAATGTTCTAGAAGGAAGAAAACAAAGGTAGGCAGAGAAAATAACAGAGAAAAAGGTAGATAATTATGAGAAAATGTTCTTAGATAGGGAGAAATGGACAGAGAGAGAGAAACAAGAGACCAAGATGAACATAGAGAGAGAAAACAGGAGAGATGGCAAAATGGGAGAAACTTTGAGGAAAGAAGTGGGGTTATGAGATAAAAGTAGAAATTAAGAAGAAATGGAGAGAGATGAAAATAGAAAAGGCACAATGAGGGCAATGATAAGCAGAAGGGGAAAATGAGCGATGAAACAACTGAAATGGAAGGAAACAACACAAGAGTGGGAAATAAAGGAGGGACAAAGGGGTAATGAAAACAAAGACAGGATGTGGCTCTCTGATTTGTTTTGATGGCTCCTGAGATCTTCATCTTCTTAAAAATAACAGAAGGATATGACTACCCCATCCTCCCTCTTTTAAGTTTAACTCATCTTATTTCAGAATCGTCACTTTGTTTCCGATACATTTTCCACTGTGGTCAACGGCCCCTGTCCCTCAGGCCTCTTGAGCTGGGACCCATAAAGTAGTTTGTAGTTGTTACCCTTCTGTTATTTTTCTTCCCCACTTCCATGTACACCACCCTCAACATTCATGCCCAGGCCAAGGTCCTGACTGTCAGCTGCTGCTGGTGCCTCTGATCTTATCTTTTAATTCACTCTCTATTCCACCTCCATGTGGGCTTCTACTCTCCAAAGTGTTGGGTTATGGAGGTCAGAGCAGGGAATATGCAAGCACCTGCTCCAAAATATATTAGTCTATCTGAGCTGGCTCAACATAAACTAAAGAACAATAGCAATCAGCAGTGAAAGCTGAGATGACTGGATGAGTGGCGAGGGGCCAGTAGAGATATAACCTCAGCTGGGTTAGCAGATAGGGAGGGGGTAGTGAAGGAGAGAGCTGGAAGCATGAGACCATCCAATACAGAACAGGCTAAAGTGAGCACTGTCTAAAATAACCAGGAAAACAGGACAATGCCAGAATGGCACAGAGGATATACCTACACCTAGGTGCTAAAAATAAAACAAGACAAAACAAAACATGTCAGACAAGCGAGACTGGTTAAGTAATTGATGGAGTTAAGTTAGGAAAAAAGATTTTGATGGTATTTTTTCCAATGTAAAATATTGTTGATCTTAGAAGAAAAGATGGTATTTTTCAGGAATGGCAACTATAGGAGGTAGAGGTTAGGGAAACAGAGACAGACAAACTAGGAGGTACTGCAAAAAGGTAGGTGTATATATGATAAGTTACCATGTGATTCAACAATTCTACTCCTAAGTAAAATTCCATTTTCAAGAGAAATGAAAATATACTCATATGTTTATACTTGGACAACTCAATGTCTATGTGCAGATGAATGGAAAAATAAAACATGGTAAACCATACAATGGGATGTTATTTGGCCACAGAAAGGAATGAGGTATGTATGGGATAACATAAAGCAACCTTGAAAGCTTTCCAAGCGAAAGAAGTCAGTGACAAAAACTGCATATTACATGATTACACTTATATGAAATGTCCAGACAAATCTGCAGAGCAAGTAGATCAGTGATAGCTTAAGGCCAGGGCTTTGTGGTTGTAGTGGTAGCTAAAGGGTGCAATCCTGTTCTCTGAAGTGATGAAAAGGCTTTACAATTAACAATAGGGATGGTTGTACATATCAATGAGCATAGCAGAAAGCTTTGTATTCTATACTTTACATGGGTAAACTGAATGGGGTGTTAATTATACTTCAAGAATGCTGTTATTTTAAAAAGTCCAGGTAGAGATTCTCTAAGTTAGAATTACTGAGAACAAAGCATTGGAAGACATACAAAGAAGCGTTTTAAAGTTATACCGGATAGGAGTTCTATGAGGTTACAGAGGAAGATCAATGAGAGGAAATAATTTTTAAATTATTCCATTTCCCACAACTGACCCAGAAAGTAATTAGTTTTCACTAATTTCCCTTGTCCCAAATGCAAATGCTTACAGCCTGGCCTGCTGAAAATGGTGACAAAACAGCTGGCAGCTGAACACTCTTTGGTCAAATGAAACTTGTGGGTTTATTTGAGGATCTCGGCTCCCAACAGAGAATACAAAGTCATTTAGATGTGGTTTATGTACCAGGAGAACACAGGCACTAATGCACTTATTACACTCTTTCCTCTCTGAGGGAAGGCAATGCTGCCCCAGCAGCAAGATCAACAAAAGCAGACTCAGACACCACAGACCACCAGATCCCACACCATGCTGTTCTCATACTTTGAGTAAAAATTCTGTATCAGGTGAATGTGTGGGTCTTTCTAGGACTTTAATTTTTTATGGTCTCTTCACAACAGTAGGTTGTAAGAGGCTGCCTTTTTAAAGGGTTTATCTCTTTTACTGAGTATGGGTTTAAAGCAGATAAAGCCTTCTGATGGAATGGAAATTTCTAGGTACAGAACTCAGATAAATGCTTTGCGTAGGAAGTATATAAATTATAACATTATGCTTTCTGAAAATCATTAGGGAAAACCAGCAGGGGTAACTGCTCTCCCTCCTCATGTCAAGCCAAAGGTGAACTGCTTGTTTTCTGGCTTCACTAGCCTTCCCAACCAGAGTACAGGACACTCAGGTACTCTATTGGAAATGGGGGTACCTGGGAAATTTGGGAATCTACCTCACTTACTAGCCAAGTTCCAGAAATGGACCAGAAACAGACAAGTGAGGATCACTGGACTGAGGGAAATAATACAACACCAAGCACTGGGATGGGTACAAAAAACCCAATCAGGCATAACAACAGGCTTCGGGATGCTCACAGCATTGTTGGTCTGCCAAAAGGTAAATGGTTACAAATACTGTAGTGGAGATACAAAATATAATGAAAGATTTGTGTCCCAAGCATCATGGTACCTTTAGGATATAGGAAGAATTCTGAAGAATGACTGTGTGTGTGTTGGGGTGGTAAATGTGCATGTAAATAGAAGACACAATTCACCCTAGGCAAAGAAAAAGTCAAATTCTTAAGGATACAGAGCATCTCAGGCATTGTCAGAGCATAGGACCTCCATGTCATAAAAATGCTAAGTAGAAAACAGGGCATGGTCCACTTAACACTTCAAAAAGACCTCCCTGGATACTCTTGGTGAAAGATAAACCAAGAACATCTGAAGGAATACATTAGTGAAGAGTGGTACAGAGCACTCATATGACATCAGTAAGTTCTGATATTAGTTTAGAGCGTTTTTCATCGATTCTTCTGTTTTATTCCAGAAATTCTAATTTCAGGCGCCCGGGACCATTTTCACACTAATTCTCCATTTAAAAAAATCACATGTTTGTTTCTCACCTACCTTCTTCCAGTCAAGAGTGATTCCTTTACTGAACAATGAGACACTCATGGAATCAATTATGTTATGTCTGTGTCAGCCTCGGAAGATGTACAGAGAAGGTTAATTTTGTAAACTTGAGTATAAAAACTACATTTCAATGACTTTATATTCTCCATGGGACCTACTCCACTATCTTGCATACAACAGATACACAGATACTTATGAGAGAAAAGAACACAGGTAGGCAGGAAGATGGACTGATGGCTTTTACATTTTTCTGAATTTAAAGTTTTTGCCTGTTAGAATAGCCATCTCTGCTATAATCTCTCATTGAATTCTACAGGTTTCCTAAATTTGTCTCATTTATCCCTTAAATCCTGTAGTCATTAATTTCATGCCATTCCCTTATTGCCTAGAGGTCACTTCTTTTGGAGATATGCACTAAATAGATTTACCCCATTGTCCATCAACAAGATTGTGTATTTATTCAAAATCAAAGGATCTGACAAGAGATGTCAGCTTACTTTCTTCTCTTGCTTCTATAACAGCAGAGGTACTCAATGTGACTATACATTTCTCTCACCAGAAACTTAAAATTCTCAATGTCCAGTCTCATTTAGGCCAATCACATAAGAATCTGCCTTGAGGGACACACGAATCAGTATTTTTTCTAGAGCTCCCAGGCAATACAATATGTAACCAAGCTTAAAACAACTGCACTAGAGCAATGATTCTTAGACTTGAGTGGGCATAGAAGACACATGGAGGACTTCAGGATTCAGATTGCTAGGTACCAATCAGAGATCCTGAGTTAACAGACCTGAGCTGGGGCTCAAGAATCTGCATTTCTAACAAGTCTTGTTGATACTGATATGGTTGGCCCAAGGACCACCCTTTGAGAACAACCATGTTTGAGAAAGCTAAACATAAAGTAGAAGCAATATCTTTACCGACAGCTGCATAAGCCTCCTATAATCACAAAATTTATGTCCAGCTACATTTGATGTTGAGGTATAGAGACAGATTTGCTTTGTCTAAAGTCAGAGCAGTTGAGATGGAGTGGAGTGAAACAAAAGACAAAAAACAACAAAACAAAGCAAAAACAAAAATAACCACCCCACTATCTTAGTTTTTCTTCCCTACTTTATGTATGAGATAAAGGTTTTGTGTGACCAGTAAACAAAAATAAAAAAAACCCAAAAAAATAGTTAAATACCCCTTATCCCAAAGAGGAGAAGCAGTTCTACTTGCTCATCAATTGCTCAAGAATAGAAACTACAGCTTACATCAAAGAAGGTGCCTGCATGTTCCAGGATCAGCTGGTTGGAATCAGGCTTGTTTTTACAGTAGGTGACATACATTTGAAATTTGTCTGCCTAAAAAGAACAAAGACAATAATAGGTAAACATGCAGGTGTTGCTTCCTTCGATCCACTATGCCTGAAGGGCCCAGCATGGGCTTCACAATTAAACCCACAGATACCAGTACTTGAATTTTCCATGACAAATGTTCTGGGCTCATCTAAACCTCAATTCCTCCGAGACCTTGGGTTATTTTTCTCCAATTGGCAGGTAGAAAAATTTTGCTGAAAAGAAGCTCAGATTAACATGAGTCTGATTTAGAAGGAAGAAAAACCAAGTTATATATCATAAATGTATTCTGAAATTGGGTAATTTATTTAGAGATTATCCCCCTTTTTTTGTTTTAACCAAAATTGCATTCCCCACCTTGAAAAAGAACAAATGCTACCGTTTCCAAGACAAATATAAAAGCAAAGAGGTATGATCCCAGATTTCTCCACTGTGGGGAGAGTTGAGGATCATGTCAAGCAACTACATCATCATCCTCAACTTTCCAGAAGCAATGATGAGGTGGGAGAAGAAGACAGGGTGGCCCTTTGGGGCAGATCTGAGCAATGATACCTAAACAGATTTCTACTTCAAGCCAAGAACATGCATTTCTGATTTTTCTCAGGACCCTCTTGGTCAGAATTACATCCCCTTTCTTTTGAGAAAGATGTGTACTTTTCCCATTGGCGCAAGTGTCCACTTTGGTACCTGCAGGACATGTCAGCTATCTCACCCTGCTAGAGCAGTTTAAGTCTGTGCTCCTCACATTAGTCATCACTCTTCTCAGTGCTTTACCTAGATGAATTCATTTGATTCTTGGGCCACCACTCTGCAGTTGGTTCTATTTTTGTTCCTATTTTATATATGAGAAAACTGTGACACAGACTGGTTAACTGCTTTTAAATTCCCATAGTTAAAAAGTGGAGAACCAAGACCATCTGACTTCAAGCTTCTTGGTCTCAGCCACTGTCATTCAATATATTATAAGTAACTCTTTCTACTTTTCAATCCTACTCTACATGATACTTAAGAAAGCCTGCTAGGGATAATTCTTGGCAAAAGGTTTATAATTTATCCAGCCACCAAAGGTTTTCTGAAACCAATTTTAGAGGCTATAAACTGCCTAGGAGGTTGTTCATCATCTCTGATGGATGACAATAAATCATACTTATGGTTGATTATAAAGATGACCCACAAATTGCATGAAACAAGATGCAAAAATATCCTTTTGCTTAATGATCAATCTTGTTTTTTTATGCTGGCTGTGTAAGGGATCATACATTATTTATCAGCATACAAGCTATGCATTGGCTCATGTATTAGAACAAAATGATCTGCATGAAACAGCAGCTTTAGACTTACTGAAAAACAGTATTCCTGGAAGGAAGCATTAGGATTTTAATGAAAAGAAAGCTTGTCTGGGAGTGAGGCCTTGAGCTGGGGGGCTGGCTGTAATAATGATTACACATCAATGGGCCAGCCACCTCCTATCTCAGCTAAGATGTACCCATCTTTAAAATCTAAAATGTAATCATGGTCCTGCTGACCCCATAAGGCTGTTGGGAACATATATTCTCTGATTTGTTAAGACAATTTGAAAAGCTATTAATGTATTTTGAATTCAAATCAATAAAAAAGTTAAAATTATCAATATTAGTAATTTATATTATTAAAAATAAAAACTTTTTTGGTACTGGGGATTGAACTAACGACCTTATGTTTGCCAGGCAGGCATTTATGCTGCTAAGCTATCCCCCAGCCCCATATTATTAAATATAATAATCCAATAATTATATAATAGAATTGTTGGCATTGGGAAAGGAATTTCATACTTTGTCACATCCAGTGACCTTAGTGGATTTTCCTGAAGCTCACTGGGATCATATCCTGAGTACAGAACCATCTAAGAGTACAGAATAGAACATTTAAGTTCAAAGCAATATGATGAAGATGCTAATGAAGAATTTTTCTTTTTTTGGTTTACATGACTAGAACCTGTTACATTTGGCCCATTTATTTGATCTGACAACAACACCAAGAAAGAAGGTAAATAAAACACTCATCTTTCAGATTAAAATTGGAATGGATATCCAGGAGTATATCCATTTCTATTAAGGAAGGAAGTGCAGACAACAGTCCTGTGGCTGCTGGGCTTTCTAATACCCTAATCTGTATGTTATAAAAATAGACTAAACTGCTACAAGGGTGTGGTCTTGTCCCACTCTCCTGATTTTAAGAAGTTATTAGAGAATTTGAGATGCAGGTTGGACTAGACACATAAAAGCCTTCCCAAGGATGGCTCTGCTCCTTGGGGATGGACTGTTCCTCACAGATCTGCTTGTGATCCCTCTCTACAGCTCCTGTCCACAGTGAGAATGGCACTGACACCAATCCTTGGGTCTGGAGGAGGTGCCATGTGCATGTTTGGAAATATGGGCAGTGGGAGAAGATGCTGTTTGGTTACCCAGGTGACAAAGCAGTGTCCCACATCCTCAGGCAGCTGCTCATACTTCTCCAGTTCTTTGAGGAAAATGCTGCAAGGGAAGAGAAAGGAAGCATCAGACACCATGGTACAGAGGGCTCTCTCATAGGACTCTACTGAGAGGGGCCAGGGAGACGGCTCATTAGAGTAAGTGCTTGCCTGGCAAGCGCACAGGTCTGAGTTCAATCCCCGATTCCGCTAAAAAACAACCAGCCAAAAACCAAAAACCAAGACTCTACTGAGGACAACACAATGGTAAACTTTAATTGTTTACTCTGGGGTCTCTACCTTCTAGGTGACAAAATGATGAGATGTAACTTTTAACAATGGAGTTTGGCCAGGATATCATGTCTGCATCTTGTACTATGAATATTATGAAGACAACAATATACAATGTATTAATTACTGTAACTGTCCTACTAACCTGTTTTGAAACTGTCTCATTGCTATTTGTTTCTCAATAAAATTAATAAAAAAAATAAAAATAGTAGGCTAAAGTGGAAACAAAGTATTGTAAATAAAAAAACCATTGGAACCCATTTCATTAAAATGTATGTTAATTAAATTAGTGCTACTTAAGAGCAATATTCTTTCAGTGTTTCATTACTTTAAGGTAAAAGTGAAAACCTATATTTGTGTTGGGATCTTTCATTTCTTTGTTGGCAATTATGACTTTATTTTAACCCAAGTAATATGAGCATAATTTGTGTAGATAATGTCTGTCTGTCTGTCTAGATCTATCTGTCTGTCTATATCTATCTCTCTGTCTGTCTAATCTCTGGCAAGGTACATGCCTACAAACTCAGCTACTTGGAAGGTTGAGGCAGGAAGATAAAAGTTCAAACCTGGACAAGTAGTAGTATCCTATCTCAAAAAATAAGAAAGCCTGGAGATGTAGTGCAGACATAGCAGAGACAGAGCAGGTCCTGCGTTCAGTCCTCTGCATAGCAAAATATAATATCATCCATGATTCTAGAGAATTAAATGGAAAAAGCCAATAGCTCACTGACTTCTTTATAAGGCTGGTCTTTCTTTTCCCACCAAAAACCAGTTTGTGCTAAAAAAAAGAAATTGAATTTAATGTTTTATTATTCAGACATCATTAGGAAGGTGAAATTTTAGAGCCTGGTGATATAGGTTAGTGGTAGAGCATGTGCTTAGCATGTAAGAGGCTCTGGGTTCAATAACCAGGAAAGCAAAAAAAAAAAAAAAAAAAAAAAAAAAAAAGATAGTCAATGAGTGGGAAAAAATCATAATATAGTCTTTATTCCAAAGCTAAACTGAAATGATTATACTAACTTTAAATTAATGTATTAAATAACTGGTTTAGGTTTAGAGAATATAAGTTCTAACAAGCCGCTATTACTAGAACAGAATTTACTTTTAAAAATCACACACACACACAATAAAAAATCACACAAAAATTTTCAAATAGGAAGTACTGGGCCAGGGAAATAGCTCAGCAGAATAAGGGCTTGCCTGGCAAACTCAAGGGCCTGAGTTCAATCTCTGGTTCAGCAAAAAAAAAAAAGAAGTATGAAGCTTTGGGGAAGCTTATTGAAGGAAAAACAAAATGGTGGTCTTTATAATAAAGTCTTCATAATAAATATAATTTGACAGTGTCTATCAAAATCATAAATGTGTTTACTTTTTGATTTTAAAGTTGTAATTCTAGAATTTTCCTATAGCTAAATCTGCAGGCATAAGATAATGTACATTAGTATTAAATGCAGCACTATTTTTAAGGGCAAATATTGTCTATAAAGAACAAAGTATGTCAAAAGGACTGAATATTATGAACAAGAAAAGAAAAAGATACAGTTTTCTGTGCTTTCACATAGAAGATTCCCACAGCAAGTCATGTGAAAAAAAGTAAGGTGTGGAAGGATGTATAAAATAGTTTGCTACTAGAAGCTAGCAAAAGCCAATACCACAGGGAACTGGGTGAATCAATAGGGTAGAAGGCAGTGGCAAGACTGTATATTTCTCTTTTAATTTTGATTTTAAGATCATGTGAGCTTGCAGTCCTGAGATAAACATCTTGTGTGGCTAAAGTCAGCTATTAGTCACTAGGAAATCTTGTGTCACATGTTAATAACTTTGCAAAAGTATAAATAAAATAGGTTTTGTTGTGCAAAGATATATGTATACACAAGATAGTTAGGATACATATACAACTACTTTCTCTTAGTTCACTGAGAAGAAAGGTTTGAACTAATACTGTTTAGACAAGATATGTCTACATCTTGTCCTCTGAATAACAGTGTATTAATTATTGTAACTGTCCTCCTGACCTATTTTGAAACTGTTTCATTGCTATTTTATCTTTTTCTCATTAAAATGAATTTAAAAAATGAAAAAAATGATAAAAAATCATGTGAATGCATTATTTCAAAAATTACATTTAAAAAATGTAATGCTGTCCTACATTATTCTACTATAGGAAAAATATTTTCATTTGACCTGTTCTATCTGGCTCCTATTGCCTACACATTTTGGTAGTTTTTCATAGTTAATTATAAGCAATTATGAATTTTACACATGACATTTGTATTCTTTCTTCAGTGACACTGGAAAAATTTTTCTTAGTTTTTTTTTAACAGAATATATTTATTGAGAGAAAGAAAGCTCTTGTCCAAGAGAGGGACAGGAGGGGGGCCCGGGTGGGTAGTTCCCCTGTTGGTTTGTTTTTGCAGTGCTAGAGAATGAACCCAATGGAACTTTCACTGAGCTATATCCCTATATCTTTTTACAGTGTACTTTGAGACAAAGCTTCTGTAATTTGCCCAGGCTCGCTTTAAATTTATAATCCTCATGCCTTGACCTCTGGAGTAGCTGGGATGGACAACCACATGTGGTTGAAAGATTGTTTTGGAGTTTGAAAAAATATATACAATATATGTAATATATATATTATATAATTTAACAATATTTTTCAGGTCCTACTTGCAAAGGAAAAATGCTATGATTGGCAGGGTTATATATGATTTTTTTCTTTGTCTATGTGCAATTTAAAATTTTTCTAAAATACAAAAGCATTGCTTGTATAATAAAAAAAAAGTCATATAACTGTGGGACTCTCAGCAGTACCCATGTAGTGGCAATGAGCTTTCTCCATTATAAGCATGAATTTTACAGAACTCTGAACTGACTCATGAGCAGAAGTAAATATTATACAATCTGGGTGTCAGAAATGCAAAAATGCAGTGCTCCAAATCAATAATGTCATATTATTTCTAAGTTTAAAAAGGCTGTAACACATTTAATATGCATTTATACAAATTCTAAAAGAGAAAAAAGTTTCAGGTTATAACTGAAGGTTACATTTGGTTTAATATACATTACTGTTGCAAAGAAGGAATCTGGCTTCTCACCTCTGCAGACATGCACACAGATAGGGTACGTGAACATTTTTGTTCACATGTGTGTTATCTTTTAATTTTTGGAACTGAATTTATAGCTGTGAAAAGCAGCTATAAAATAATTTAAATGTATGTTTATTACTATACACTATAATAAAGGAAACCCCTACTCACCCAGGTCAAGGTCTCTTCATCCATGTGTGACTATTTGGAACTCTGACTATGTGTCAGTGCTGACTTTGGTGCTACGTAGATCCTTGTGTTCTAAGCCAAGTGGGATTATGATATTCTATATAGGATATAAAATGATGTTTTGCTCCAGAAGTTAGAAGGTCAGCCATGGTGACTCAGAAAGAGTTTTCTCATTTCTTTGGCTTACAACCCAAGGTCAGCTGAACTGGTCATTTAACTTTAAGCAAAGAATGGCAATTATACCTATGGAGTTAATACTTGATCCAGATGAGGACAATGTTATTATTTTTATTAAAAATCCTAGTAATTTAAATAGAACAACACTGATTTTTGTGATGGCAGCTACCAAAAAATCTATGGGGAGAAGTTTAGATTGAAATTTTCCAGAAAATGAAAATACTATAAACTAAATTAAAAGGATGGCATACGATCCGATGACTAATGCTCTTCTGCAAATTGAAGTATTTTTAACAAAGAAAAGCATAGCATTTTCATCAAATTTACATGCACATGAAATCTTCATGAATGCATCCAAAGCATGATGTTTTTAAAACTCTTTAGACAAAGAACAATATATTAGGGAAGGAATGACAGGGCATCTGGACTGGGGCTATTAGGAACACAGTGGTAAATTCTAGGGATGCTGTCAGGAGAGAGAGCTGCTGGTATGTGGGTGATGGAGAAGCTGGAAGGTAAGAGTTAACTTCAGAGCCCCTTCATTTGGGTTCACTGCATCCCTCATTTCTAGTTTCTGGGCAGGAAGGCTATTTTCAGGCTTTGCTATGTGAAGAGTATCCCTCCTGGAAGAATTTTTATGGCTTGCTGCACTTAGGAAAAGGTAAACCAAACGACAGTTTTAACCGTAGTCATCACTAGCTAATTTCCACTGGTTCCTGGATGTCACTTTCCTTGCCTCTCATTACCAAGTACTGTACACATTAAGGAACTGAAGTTGTAAGAGGGTCTTCTAAAGTTTCACTTTCACCAATTTTTTTTTTTTGAGACAGGATCTCATTATATAGTTCAGAGTGGCCTTGAACTCACTATGTACCCCAGGCTGGCATCAAATTTGTTGTGATCCTCCTCCCTCAGCCTCCCAAGTGCTGGGATTACAGGTGTGGCTTTCTTTATCCTTAAATAACAACTTTGTAGGGTTGTGAGGATTTAATTAATCCACATAGTAAAGGACTCAGTTCACACAGTAGGTACTAAAGAGTAGTTCTTCAGGATCACTGCTTCTCATTCTTAACAAATTCAGATTTTTTTTTTTGTTGTTGTTTGTTTGTTTTTGTTTTCTTTGGGTACCTGGGATCGAACTCAGGATCTCCTGCTTGCCAGGTAGGCACTTGTGCTGCTGAGCTATCTCCCCAGTCTCAGATGATTCTTCTTCTTTTTTTTTCTTTTTTGGTAGAACCGGGGATTGAACTCAGGCCCTTGCGCTTGCCAGGAAAGCGCTTATTCTACTGAGCCATCTCCCCGGCTGCTCAGATGCTTCTTA